GAGGCTTTGGCAGTTACAGATTTGAAAAACATAAAGGCGGGAACAGAGAACCCTAAACTCAAACACAAAGAACCATTTCAGCACATAAGTAAGTAAGTAAAATTTATTTGTATAGCACATTTCTCAGATAAAAATCACAAAGTGCTTCACAACAAAAGAAAGAAATCACAACTCTTATAAATACATTACAGCACATAATCAAATTAAACACTGCACGTACACATTATAACCACCCTACAGTCTAGTTAAAAGCCTCTTTAAAAAACAGAGTTTTCAACTGGGTTTTTAAAAATTTCCACACAATCCAAGCAGCGTATGGAAGGAGGCAAAGCGTTCCACAATCTGGGTGCCACACCTTGAAATGAACGGTCCCCCCTAGTTTTAAAATGTGTAAGAGGGGCAACTAATAGTCTCTGGCCTGTTGATCTCAGACTACGTGAGGACGTACGCAGCTGTATCAGGTCAGAGATACAGAGATGCATTCTAAATTTCACTGGTAACCAATGAAGTGAAGCTAAAACTGGAGTAATATGTGCCCTTTTACTCATGTGGGTTAAAAGCCTATAGCAGCAGAATTTTGGACAGTCTGGAGACGACAAAGATCTTTCTTATTAAGGCAAATAAAAAGACTGTTACAATAGTCTAAACGAGACGAGATAAAAGCGTGAATGATCATCTCCAACTCGGCTTTTGAGACCGAGGCTCTTATCTTAGAAAATGTTCCTTAATTGAAAGAAACCGTTTTTAATAAGTTGTTTCGAGTGTTTCTCCAGAGACATGGCCGCATCAAAAACAACACCTAAGCTCCTGAGACTCGGCTGAACAGACGAACCTAAGGCACCGATATGTTGTTTTATCTGAGGGATGCTCTGCTCAGGGGCAATGATTAAAGTTTCAGTCTTGGCTGAGTTCAGCATTAAAAAGTTGTCATTTAGCCACTGCTTGATCCGGCTCAGACAGTTGATTAAAGATGACAGTTTATATAACTCAGTAGGCTTAAAAGAACAGTATAACTGAATGTCATCTGCATACAAGTGATAAGAGACATCCTGAAACTGGCTTATTATCTGTCCTAGAGGGAGTATATACAGAAGAAAAAGAATCGGTCCCAGGACTGAACCCTGAGGAACACCACTCGATAAACCTGCAGTATCTGACATGTTCTGATTTATAAAACACTGAAGCTTCTACCAGTAAGGTAAGATGAGAACCATTTCAGAGCTGATCCAGATATCCCTAATAGATCCTGAAGTTTATTAAGCATAATATTGTGATCAATAGTGTCAAAGGGAGATGTAAGGTCCAACAAAACTAACTAACACTGTTTGCTTCCCAGAATCAGCTGACATCAAAATATCACTTGAAACTTTCACCAGTGCAGTTTCCGTAGAATGTCTTTTACGAAAACCTGACTGATATTTGTCAAAAATATAATTTATCTCTAAGAAGGTAGTAAGCTGCTCTGCTACCACTTTCTCTAGAATCTTTGCCATGAAAGGGAGTTTAGATATAGGCCTATAATTCAAGGGTTGCAATAAAGGGTTCATCAGGACGATACGGTACTAATTACGGTTATTACGTGTAAAGAACCTTTAAAGAACCGTCTATTTTAAAGTTAGTTTAGCTGAATTAACCCAGTTAGCTTTGTTTTGTTGAATTTATTTATTTTATTTGGCATCTCTCGAGCTCGCCTTCCCACCTTGTTTTTGCTATTGTTATTTGTGTTTTTTTGGGTAAATATTATTTTCTCTTCCTCTTTTCACTTTTGGCACTGTACAATAAACACTTTTGATCAGAGTTTTGATTTGATCCTTTTTCTTTTATTGCCCTGACCTTCATATTAACCCCTAGTAGCCAAACATAAAAAAAATCTAAGGGACGTAACACTAAGTCAAAAGAATGGTCCAAAAAGTTAAGAGAAGATTTCATCGCCCGTCACAAACAAGGGTCAGGATACAAAAAGGCACTAAATGTTCCTAGAGAGACACCGTTGGAGGCATAGTTCGCAAGTTCAAAGTTAAATGAACAGTGGTCACTACTGGACGGGGCAGAAATTGAATGCTATCTACGGCTGCAACCAGATTTCTGAGATGGCGGGTTCAGAAAAACACTCGAGTGACTGCAAAAGACCTGCAGCAAGACTTGGTAAGAGGCACTGAGGTTTCAGCTGCACAGTAAGGCCCGTACTAAACGCATGTGGTTTCCATGTTATTACTCCATGACGTACACCACTACTGACCCAAAAGCACAAGAAAAGTGGTCAAGATCATATTAATAAACCACTAAAGGTTTGGGATTCTGTTCTGTGGAGCGATGAAACAAAACTGGAACTTTTCGGCCCTATGGATCAGCGTTCTGTCTGGAGAAAGAAGAATGAAGCATATGGTGTGAAGAACACTGTCTACAGTTCAGCATGGCTTGAATCCTCTGACACTGGAAACCTGCAGCGTGTGGAAGGCAAGATGGATTAATTTTTGTATATCAGCAAATCCTAGGAGAAAATGTCATGCCGTCAGTGAGGAAGCTGAAGCTTGGGCATCAATGGACCTTCCAACAGAACAATGATCCCAAGCATACCTCAAATCCCACCAAGGCTTGGAGAAGAAGTCCTGGAAGATTTTACAGTTGCATCATCGTCACCTGACTTGAACCCCAAGGTGGTTGCAGCACGCAAACCCAAGAATATTACTGAACTGGACCATTGCTCATGAGGAATGAGCTAAGATTTCTCAGAAACGCTGCCAGGAGCTGGTGTCTGATTATATATCTCATTTTCAGCCGGTCATAACAGCAAAAGGGTGTTCAACTAAGTACTAAAGATGCTTGCCATGAAGGGGTTGAATAATTTTGAGACTGCAGAAGTCATTAAAAGATGCATTTTCAGTTGAATTTGGGAAAACCACTTGAAACATGTTGTGTTAAGCTATTTCAATTACTTTTGTTTGATTTGTTCATTGCAAACAGCTGAAAGTCTGTAAATTTTGCCAATAAACCTGATTAGCAATGGGGGTTGAATAATTTCGATTGCAACTATATATATATAGGCCTATATATATATTCATATTCAAATGGAAACTGTGATTTTAAATTATAATAATATATCTCATTTTTTCAGTTTTTACTCTATTTTTGATCAAATAAACTAAAAAAAAACTAATTTATTGCTGTTATGTAAAGCTGAATAATTCTAACATGCTTATTTGCCGCTCAAGAAACATTTCTGATTATTATCAATGTTGAAAACAGTTGTCCTGCTTCATGTTTTTGTGAAAACCAGAATACCATTCAAAGGTTTGGGGTAGTAAGATTAAAAAAAATACTTTTATTCAGCAAATGAGGATGCATTAAATTGATCAAAATTGACACTAAAAACATTAAAAATGTTACAAAAGATTTATATTAAATGCTGTTCTTTTGAACTTTCTATTCATCAAACTATTTCAACATTGATAATAATAATAAATGTTTCAAATCATCATAGAATGATTTCTGAAGGATCATGTGACACTGAAGACACTAATGAGGCTGAAAATTAGATTACATTTAATTTTACATTCAAATACTTCTTTAATTTATAATCAAAACATTACTGTGTTACTGTATTTTTAATCATTGGTGAGCAGAAGAGACTTCTTTCACACACAAAAAAAATTATTAGCCTACTCCAAACTTTTAAACTTTACTGTAACATTTTCTAAATTAATCGCAGATTAAGGGCACATTAAAACAGAGGGGTTTTTATATATTTATTTTTGGGAAACAAGCAGTTATTTATTTATTTATTGCGAAACAACCGTTTGAACTGTTTAATGACTGGAGGGAAATAAAAAAAACCTAATAAGCTAAAAACGTGAAGCGTGGGAAACACATCTGACCTTCATTCCCTGGCCACAATAAATTTTATTGTGTAAAAAAATTCACGCTACTGTGGTTCAAACGGATGGAAATGCGCGTGCCAGTCGTTGAGTCGTCTGGGCTTCACACTTGCGAGACAAAATCCAGAGCCCAAGACGTGTTAAACCATGGTTCACTTCAGCCTTTTGTCCAGTCATTAGCATCTCTCAGATGTCTAGGAGTCTTTCCCAGCTTTTAAACACCAGTTTAGTAGAATAAACTAGCACAAGAGCGGAAAAGAATAGTTTTAATCCTCAATTCCTCTTCGCATGCTCGTTCTTCTCAGACTATGTTCGTGCATATTTTTTAAAACGCGCGCGGCAACAATAGTCAATTTGATACATGTGTGATTTGAGACAAACTATAGCCCATAACTAGAGTAAAAAATGATCCAAAGTCGTGTGCCAGACTGTGCACACACACACACACACACTATTTATATACGGCAAGTCAATAGGCTATATAGCACATCTTTGTTTATGCGGATGTCTCCGTCAAGGTGCCAAGGCACGTGGCGCCCTTTCGCACCGTTTCTTCATTATCTGAGCAGACAAACGAGCAGAGGAAGCAGAGGTGTGTGAACAGAAGTCTTGTGGAAGTGTGCCAGATATTCGCCCCAAACATTCACACACTCGCGCGACACATTGGTCGCGCGCATTTCAAAGGCTTCTATGATCAAAGCGGACTTTAAATGTCCGGCGCGTGCAGAAAGCGATCACTAAAGTTGCTCACGACATCAACAATTAATATTATTTAGAAGAAAAAACAACCGATTCATTTTAAAATTTTAATGATGGAATGTATTTGCTTCAGTCTCCAAAATACACACCTATAAATCTGAGCATAAAATGGAATGTCATCATGAATAAATAAATGTGCAAAATAGATAAATACATACATCAGTTATGTATTACAAATGATCATACACCCAGTACAGATCATGCAAAGAAAAAAAAAAGAAAAATCTGTGTAAAAAATATATTGCCATGTTTATCATACACTATTTACACATTTCCAATGAGATGTCTTGATGATAAAATCATTACACAACATTTTATTTTTTGGAAATAAACATGTCTCTCTGCAGCCTATTTCAGAAGAGATGAACCATGTCTGATTATTACACAAGCCCGCTGTTTTTGAGTCCATGTCTCAGCCTTGATCTCTCTCAAGGCCAGGGTCTCCAGACCGTCTGACTGACCACTGCTTGTTGCTGAGAGTCGGGCCGGGCCGTCGAATGCTGTGTGTTTGAGTCTGTGTTTCTGGATGGAAACCTGTTAGAGTCTGGCACAATGTTCCTGCAAGCGGATGGAAGTCCTTGTTTGCAAACAGAGTTCTCCTGCTGTGCGTGTGAATCTGGAACAGAGTTCTGGACTCTGACCGGCAGTCTGATGCTGGATGACATGCAGGGTCGAGTCAGACGGTGACACATCGTCTCGGAGACAGAAGCTTCCAGTCCATGGGAATCGCCTTCATCTGACAGGAAACGGGCCGCTTTCTGAAGACATGAAGAAAAGCCGTCCACGAACTGATGTTTCTCTCCTCCTTCCACATCCTTTGCTTTCTTGGCCTGAGCGACAGAGTTTTGCAGAAACAGGACGGTGTATTCCAGGATCTCTGCTTTCTCTAGTCTTCTTTGAGAAGGACTCTGAAAATGAAAGAGGAGGATTTAGACCAAGCAAACACAGACTTGATAGAGAACTCTTATATTGACTCAAGCCCCTTTTCCACCGAAGCATTTTGAGAGCCGGTTCGGAGCCGGTGCCTGCGCGCGAACCAGTTCTTTGTGTTTCGACAGCCAAAGAACCGGTTCTCGGCCAGGAAAACTGGTTCCCAAGCGGCACCAACTCTTTGCTGGACTAGAACCGTTCTTTTACCACGTCATGCTTACGTCGGGGGCTGGGCGCGGGTTTAGATGTGTTCTAAACATCTTTTCTGACCATAATATAGGATCGCAAAGCCAGGAGAAACATTTGCAGAAACACGATGTAGTCCGCCATTGTAATTGTTATGCTTGAAGTTGGCGCAAGCGTTTCTAGTTTTTTTTTTAGTTTTTTTTTTATTGAAAACATTATGTAAGCAAAGAAAAAAACAGTCACAATATAGAACAAATAAATGGAAAGAAAAAAAAAGACAAGACATGGGTACATAACATATCATAAAAGATTACATATCAAAGGAAAAGATTAAAAGACTTACATATTTCAATTGTTTTTAAAGCCTTCTTGGTACACGAGTTAGAGATAATCCCAAAGTAATGTTGTACTTGCAAGCGTTTGACGTATGGCTTGGCGACGTACACAGTGACGTAACAACGTCGTTCGCTGGGCGCTCTAGTCAGTGGAAAAACAAACAGGTTCTGAGAAGGTTCGCAAGTTGAACCAACTCCGAACCAACTTTGAACCAGCACTAGTTCCGAACCAGTTCTTTTTTGGTGGAAAAGGGGTAATTGATGGTTCCATAAAGAACCTTTAACATTCATGGAGTCTTTGCATTGCACAAAAGGTTCTTTATATTTTAAGAACTGTTTACTGCAAATGGTTCTTCTATATAGCATTGCGGTGAAAACTCCTTTTTGGAAGCTTTATTATTAAGAGCATATAAGCTTATTATTTTGAGAAGTGAAAAAGCATGCTGTTCTTACATTGTGCTCAGGGCCTTGCAGAAGAAGAGTTCTCAGGTTCTCCAGACTCCGATTCATTCTTTCTCTTCTCCGCCTTTCTACCTCAGGCTTCAACAGCTGCAGAAAACATTACGACTAGTGTCAGTGGACAGGTCGGGGTTTACAAGCTTTTGCCAGGCTGCAATGTTAGAGTTTGAGATTCATGCACAGAAATAAATATTTACCTTTCTGTCCATTTTAACGGTCTCAGTCTCTTCAAGGATTTTCATTGCACGAATGCTCCAAACAATGGTTTATATCAGTGATGATCCAGTAAAGATCCGAGTAGTCTTCTTCTGTGAGGTGTGCTGGGTAAAGATCACTTCTCGAGCGCGCAGACAGTGAGATGCAGGTTTGAAACTGAGCTCAGGTATTTATAGGCTTCCAGGCGCGTGGCCACAAACCACGCCCACTATCTGTCACAGGCTGAACCTGAACGCGCAATGCTCTCGTGCAGTTTGTTCCCAGCTAAAAACACTGAAAGTAGATAGGCTACAATATTAAAAGTTATTGTAATGTTGAAGATCATACCTATATGCTGTAGCCGTTTATTGACCACGGACATTGCTGAAGTGTTGTATCGCGTTCTGGGTACAGTGTGTTGTCTTACATATTTATTACAAATAGCTACTTATTTTGTACCTATTACTGTAGTTAGCTAACATATAATCTCCACTGAATTGGTTGAAGACATTCAGGCCGATTTTAGATGAAAAGCGCTGATGGCACACGCTCACTGACACCTCGACTTCCGTGGGCACGTGCGCGCATGAGAAAACACCCTCAGTAAATATGCATATCAATCGCCCAGCACGCGCCGCTGGTGACACAGACGCCATTATAATAATAAAAGGAAAAGAGCTCTCTTTTAATGTCAAGAGTCTTAGTTCCACTGTTGGAATTTTGCATATTTTGAACGTTTTCGCATAATTGTACCACATACAGGCTAGAATTAATGCAGCCAAAACAAAAAAATACAACTACAATCTTTAAGCCTGCATCCGTTGTTGCAGTGATGTTATGAACAAGCGACCCCAAAGTTGCATAAAACAGCAGAAACAACTACATTATAAACTATTCTTAAATATGAAATGCATTATCAGAATGATCATAATACGGCTGCCGAGGCTGAGTCCAGTCCAGTTATGTTAGTTCCTATACACTCGGGAGGATTGCGTTTATTGGTAATGTGCTTCAAACGCGCCTTGTTTAAATTTAAAGTCGCAATTATCCATTTTATAAAAAATAAACAACTTAAATTTAGCAAGAATAGCTTAAAGAAACAGGAGGACTGCAATGCGTAGCCTAATAATAAATGAGCGCGTGCCAATCCACGCTTTGTGGATTTGTTTTGCTCAAAAAAGGCACAAAGTGCAGTAGCCTAAACATCTGGGTACAATCAAATATGTAGAAATCTTCAGGGGGGAGCAAGGTGACGTGTGTTGTTCACACCTCTTTATAATTCTGTAGGGCTCGTGCCGCGTGCCAACTTCACGCCTGTGAACAATGCGCGCGCGTGGACTGCAGTCATCCACGTGTGCATATGAAAGCGTGCGTGTGCATTATTCATTTCACTGAAATCACTATGTTAATAGACTCTCTTGCTCATTAATGTTCTGAAGATAGCATACATCCTTTCTTAGCGCAAAAAGTAATCAAAGCTTTAAAGATGATATATCTGTAATACGAGGACAGCACGTGTGGAAATACGACTGTCTGTTCACTGGATACGCGTCGCTAAAATATGCCTAAAGCCAGGTAAAGGAAAGATGGAGAGGAATTTGACAATGTGATCATTTCTACACGAGTGCTTTGTCTCCACGCCTTCTATCAAGGTAGCAGAAAGTTCCTGACCTGATGCACCGCAGTTCATATTGTGAATGCCAAAACACGCATGGAAGTGATAAAAATGGAGACTATATGTGAACGCAGGCTGTGTTATAATGTTTATCGAAGAGTAGCGTGGGAACGTCTCTGTTCAGTGATAGCTAAAATCCCGACCGGTAATAAAACAGGACTGAGGTGTGATCCGTGTTCCTAGGTGAGGTGTAAGTTGTTCGTGTTACTGCGAGAGCGTGGCTAAAACGCGTTCCCATCATAACACTCCTCAAACGATTGCCTGTTGGCGAATTTTAAATATTTACACAATTTGTGCCCTTTGTGCAAGTTTATTATTCTCAATTTAGGCGACACAGCACTGCATCCTGCATATTGTGAGTTTCTGTTTTTGGTAGGCCTTTGGAAAATAATGATCTCACTGTACAAGTTGGGGTTCAAGAGTGGCCACTATTGACGCAAGCAAACCGACCCGAAATGACGAAATCTGTATCTGTAATAGGCTTTTCTGCCTTTATTACAGAGTGAAAATGAATCATTTCGCACTGTTGTTTACCGTTCTATTATTTTTGCTCAATATCTATTAAAATAATATAGGTAGGCATGCGTATTGACCAATAGTATGCTAATATCCCCAGAGAGACCGTCTGGTTCTTCTCATTCTTATGCGCACAAACACATCAACCCTCGCGCGCTTTAATGGCCCTGCGCGTGCCAGTTGCTTTAATCTCGGCCTTTTGAGTGCAAATGTCGAATGGGTGTCGTTAAGTAAAATAAGAATAAAGGCAGACAGGATCATTTAAAAAAAAAAAAAGTCTCGACAGTAACCCTAGACAGTCTTTAAAAAATAATATCATCCCAATAACTTCTGTAGGCTAGACAAGATCATATTAACTTAAACTATAAACGGCTGATCACAAACATTGCCAAGGTGAAGAAAGTGAAGAGTGTATGTGAACGCAGACTGCTGTGTGTTCTCGTGTTTATTGGAGAGAAGCGTGGGAACGTCTCTGCGCTCGGCTAATAATGTACAAATTCTGACAGGTAATAAAAAAAAGCTGAGGTGTGTAAGCAGTGTGTTACTCGGAGAGAGTGCTTAATAGCTGGTTCCCATCATAACACTCTTCCTATTCTCTGACTGTAGGGTATTGTCGAGATTTACATGTTTACACAAGCGCGCAAAATAAAACTTTTTTAAAATACCGTTGTGTGATATGGCTATCCCATGAAAAGAAAAGCTTGATGTTGTCTTTTACAACAAAAATTATAGCGTTAACCTATGTTGTTGTTCCAAATTCCAAAAAATCACATTTATAATTTTATGAAACTCATTAAACCAAACCAGATTAAATCAAACCAACAAGTTTGACAACACACCGGAGCAGGTTCGCCCGTGCACTTCATCACAGTCAAGGCAAGCATGGCAAGTTTGCACTGTACAAAAGTTCTATGGAAGCCCATTTCCGTCATAAAAAACAAACAAAAAAACATGCTCTGGTAAATAATAATTATGAGAAGAAAATTAGAAATGACGACATAATGTCTATTAGATGTCTATAATGTCTATTAGATAAAAAGCTCATACTTATGAGAAGAAAATTCTATAATAAAACTCCATAAAAAGACATAATTTCGACTTTCCAAAGCATTATTATATTTTTTTAATTAAATGGGCTTCCATACTAAACAGATCGGTGGAGCAATTTATAAATCTATAAATATGTATAATTCTATGCCAGCAGGGGGCGAAGGCAACGGGTCGTTTGTCCAAAACAGGTTCATTGACACACGTTTGGTGTTAACAAAATGTGTCAATGGACCCATAAGAATAGAAGCACGCAGAGAAGGACATGTGCCCTGTGTTTATACAGTTTCCCACGGGAACGGCTGCATAGCACTCAGTAAAACCGGCCCTGAAATTATTACATAGAAGGGGGGAAAGTAAATAACCATTCATCATTAGTAGCCGAAATCATTTTTTTATTTTTTTAAAAGTATCTTTACACATAGCCTACACACATTATAAAGAAGGCTTAATTGCTATCAGTGTTTCTTGTGCCTTTCCATCAAGACTATTCAGATAAAACATATGAACCAAACTGGTGGGGTTTTCAAATACTTTGATCTGTTAATAAACACAGTCACAGCTTTTTTGCGTATGTGTGTTTGAGTTAGGGTTATTTATAGCTTTTTTTGTTGTTTTTAATCTGTAATTGTCAAAAAAAATGAAAATTTTCATATATCTTAATATATGCTGAATATAAACCTTTAAACTGGTAACTGGTCCCTTATTACCCATTTCCTTTTAATTTTTTCAACACGTAAAGTGAGACCAGTTAAGGATATTTCTGTCCTCTTCTCCACTAAGCAAGAAGAGATATTCAATTTGATCCATAGTTTTCAAATATTACTTACATGCCCAGTCACAAAACATGATGTCCCATGACTTCATATCACATTTTGCTTTTAACATTGTGAAGGGCTCATATACTGTCCATTTAAAATGGCATCTTTTGTGAACATAAGTTCTTTTACACATGCAGAGAGAAACTGCCAATCAATTACATCAAATTACACTCATAATAATAGACTATATCATAGTACAACCCCATCGCCAGAAAGGTTGGGACATTTTGTAAAATGAAATAAAATCAAGAATCTGTAATTTGTTAATTCTCTTGAATTAACTGACAAACGCATAAAGAAAAGATTTCCAATATTTTCACTGACCAATTTCATTGTATTTTGTAAATATAAACACATTTTGATTTTGATGGCTGCAACACACTCCAAAAGAGTTGGGACAGAGGCAAAATAAAAGTGAAAAGACTATAGAATATCCAAGTTAACATGTTTTTTTAACAGTTCAAAGCAGGTGAACTGGTAATAGGAGAGAGCATCATGTGTAAAAGGACATTCTCAGTCTTTGCAAGGAAAGGTCATCATGGCTCACTCTGTGCCAAATATCATGAGAGAATTGTCACATCTCTCCAAGTATTTAGGTCTGTCAACATCTATCATAATACTGTGTAAAGATTCAGGGAATCCAGGGAAATCTCAGGCAAGGCAGGAAACCTCTGTTGAATGTGCGTGACCTTTGACCCCTCAGACGGCACTGCATGAGAAACCATCATGCTACTGTATTAAATACAGACACGAGAACTTTGGAAAACACTGAACACTGCATGGAGAAATGCTTCTCGAATCTCTGTTACTCAAGGAGAAACTACATCAGTTCAGTTCAGTTCTCTGAGCCCGAGCTCATCTCAGACGACCCACTGTGGAAATGTTGGTCTGATTAGTAATCTGTACTAGTCACCACAGTGTTCTCTTGATAATCTGTACCAGACTAGTAATCTGTACTAGTCACCACAGTGTTCTCTTGATAATCTGTACCAGACTAGTAATCTGCACTAGTCCACCACAGTGTTCCCTTGATAATCCGTACCAGAT